GATCGAGTCTAGTTGCATCATGTAGGATTGCATCAGTGCAAGGAGCAATGATAGATTTTTTCCTAGAGAGTAAATCACTTGAGAACTTGAACTAAATATGCTTGTGAAACTCATTCTGTGCTTGTAAAGCTTGAAACTATTTGAATCTGAGAAGCAAGTCTGAATTACACTCAACTCTAGCTAAGTGATAACCCTGAACTTGAAATGAAAATATCCTTTGATGCATTGCTTAAATAGGCTTGTGGATACCGATATACATACTTGAGCTAGAATCGTTGTTTTTACCACCCTCATTCCTTAGCTCAAGTAGCTGAATCCGCATCATGGATCAGTTCCCTCACCTTGAACCCATCTTTCTTTCGAGCCAATGTTTGTGTGAGAATTGTAAGGCCACCTTGGACTGAACTTAGCAGAAAGTGTTAGGTTTAGAGCGACAAGGGTTTGGCTCATTGAGTGGTATGTTCCAACATCAAGGAACCAAGAGTATTGGTGAGAAATAAGTGTGGGGGAAAAGACTTGTTGGTGAGTGGAAAAAGGTGAGCTGAGTGGAAAAGTGAGAGTGGAAATAGCTAGGGGAATGAATGAAAATGAATTAAGTCTTGGATGTGAAAAGATAAGCTCTGAAATGAAAAGAAGCCAAAGGCTCAAGTGTTCTGAAATGAAAATGAAAGAGGCTATACGTTATGAAAGAAAAGAGCTGTGTGAATAAGTGAAAACCAAGGCTTGAAAATAAAAGAAAAAGGCGAGTCCCCTAGTGAAAAGAAAACGATTGTGAAGAGTGAGGATTCTGAGAGGGTGAGCAATTGAGAAACACTTTGAGTGGAGTGTGGGGTGTGATGAGTCTTGCCCTTGTATGCATCGGTTGCTTTTTACCTTTAGCATTCTGCCAAAGTTCGGTCGTTCATAGAGAGATCCTTGTTGCATTGTACCCGCTTGAATATTGATGAGATCATTTTTATCTCATGACCTTACCCTAGCCAAGCCAGCCTATTTGAACATTGCATCATTTGATTCACCGGTTACGAACTTAATGAATGTGAAAGAGTTGAATGTGATAATGACTTGTGGAGATTCCGTGTTTTAGTTGGAAAATACCGAGTATAGCTTTGCATTGCATATTTGAGCATGAATCCGAGTTCTCTTGTGGTCACTTCTCTCTAAAAAGGAAATATGAGCTCCATCTGCATTACAACCTCTCTCTCTCTCATTTGTTCTTTTTGCTTGAGGACAAGCAAAGGACAAGTGTGGGGGAGTTGATATGTCTATATTTTACATCATTTATATTGCATTATAGAGTCCTCATCATGTGTTTTCTCATGTAAATTGAGTCTTTAGGCGTTAAAATAGGACTTAGGGCTTGCATTAGGTCCCAAAGAGTTTTGCATGTTTTGAAGTCTTTATCAGGAGCTTTGGAGACCAATTGGAGCCTAAGAAGAGGAACAGAAAAGAAAACGGTGAAGAAAAGGGTCAAAAATGGTGAAAACCGCTTGGAGGAATTTCTCGGCCAAATCTCGTACCGGCTGGTCGGAAACCTCGTCCAAAATATTTACCGGATGCTCATTACTGGCCAAAAACCTTACCGATCGGCCAGAATCAAGTATCGAGTGCAAAAATACCACGTGACAAGTTTTTGACCGAGGCAAGAATTTTTACGACCAAAAAGCTTACCACGGTACACAGCCCTCGGCCATTTTTCTTACCGCGGGAAGGTTTTTACGACCAAAAGTTGTCCTTGCCCGCGCAATTCAGAGATCAGCAATCCGGGGAACCTTCCGGTCCGAATCAGTTGGCGGGGTCTTCACCAAAGTTGGAGATAATGAAGCAAAGATTCCAGAACAGTTGGAATCATCCAATTCGGACCAGTGGAGAGAAAGATATGGCTTCCGGAGCATTCACCAGCATTGCGCGTACCCAAGAACTGAACGGCGAACTTCAAAGATCATGGCGGACGGAGCCCCTCCAGACCGAAACTGCTTACCCGGTCTTCACCAAACTCCGAGATCCATGGAAGATCTTCTCAGAGCATTTGGAATCGCTCAATTCGGAGCAAAGGTTTGGAAGATAGGGTCTCCGGAGTTCACATCGGTCTAAAAGTCTATTTTCCGGTGATTTCAATGCGGCGCAAAGATGTTAAATCCAGGAAGCCTTCCACTCCCCAAGCTCCGATGGTTTCTTCACCAAAGTTCGAGCTTATTGAGTCATCTTGACTGTGGAACTGGTCCCAGAGCAATTGGAGTCGTGTGCTGAAAGTTACTGCTTCCGGAAGGTGACATGGTCGATACAAGCCTAAAAGAGTTGCGATACGCGCTAAGTATTCTCACAAGCCTCGGTATCTTTACCTTGGCGTCACTCAAGTCGAGGCTCATATCTTGGAAGTATTCTGGACTAGACCTCGTGCCAAAGCCTTGGCATGGTTAGATCGAGGCATGCATACGTAAGAACTGAAGCTGGAAACGACTAAGTGTTGAAAGTACACCTCAGTGTAATGACCTCGGTGTGCATGCCGGACTGTGTTCTCCCAAGCACCTCGACATCATGACCCCTCGACATTTTATCCCGAGGTCCCTTGTCACGAACCCAGAATCAAGAACAGAATGGCTCAAGAACATACACGTGAGGATAGATCAAAGACTAGGGTTCATGCATGTTCTTGACGTGTTCTTCACGAGATCTTCATCTGGATCCTGACTCACGTGCACGCCTCGGCATGAAGACCTCGGCTTCACTTTCCGACACACCGTGGCACTCACCCATCAACCCAAGAAGGCGGTTCAGTACCCGGTTTGTTCCGGGCTGACCCGCGACCCTTTCCCTTTGCTATAAATACATTTTGAGACTAAAAACCTAGTTATCTTATCTCTTATCTGTTTTTAGCTCTAAGAACTTGCCTCTTTTGTGAAACTTGATTAATCTAATCCGATATCTCGTTTTTGCATCAGAATCTTGTTCTTTCTTTATTTCTTTTATCATCCAACATCAAACTCCTTATCATGACTAGCTACACGTCTTGCAAAGGACTTAGTGAGCTCGTTATGATCAGTGAGTAGTCGTTTAAGCGGCTTTAGATAGGTAGATTAGGGTGCTTTCAAGGTGGATTAATGGGTTTAGGTGTCTAGTCTTGCATGTTTCATTCCTTAACCGACGAGATCTCTAAGCTGGATCCAAGCACATCACTTGAGGTTCAGATCTGAGACATATCTCGCATCAGAAGTGTTTGTAGAAATGTCTGAACCACTCGGTTAAGGGTTTAAGAGTCTTTCATCGCGAGAGTGATAGTTTGTTCTCTTAAATGACATTTTTGAACCGATTCTTATTGCTGACTGATTCGTGCTTCTCAAAAGGGATTTTGGTATGAAAGAGGATCAGTTTAGACGTTTAATACTTTCATGAGAAGATTAACGTGCCTTGAGTTCAAAGTCAAATGAAATCGCTTGATAAAATGATTCATTAGCCCCTTAGTCTAACTTGGAAGCACCCGAGTCAAATATCCTGTCTAAAGCTTCTGCCTTTATCATTCATTACCATCATCTGAATCACCTGTTTGTTATTTGCATCTTGATTAGTTTAAATCTCTGCTTTTATTTAACTTTATTGCTCATTTTCCTGTTAATCATCGTCACCAAACTTTTATCATCTTGTCTTGACTTAAGTGAACAAATGACATAGGCTAATGTCTCGTTTACAAGCTTGGTTTGACACCCCTTATACTACTTTGACAAGGGGATTGATAACCCTTCTAAGAGCCTGAAAACTCTTAGTTATCAGCAGGATGAATTGTTAAAAGAACATCTAAAGCATATCGACTCAAACTAAAGACTCTTAAACTCATAGGTGGCGATTTAGACTTCTCCGGTTTACTCTAATCGATGTATGATGGCATTTCCAATTAGCTTCCAGGCTATTTATCTTTAACTGTTTCTGGGAATCTTTTGAACTGGAATAGACATATGTATGATTAACCAACTCTCGTCATCTTAATCAACTAATCACTCAGATCTTACAATTAACTCTCGCTCTCATGACAGAAATAAGATCATGCATTAGACATTGAATTCGTCTGCTCACCTCTTCTCTATAGGTAGCTTTCGACTCCTATAGCGACTATGTTCTTCTGAAGCTAGGTATAGATGATCTGATACAACACTCTCGTGGCTCAATCGATCCTAGGCTCAGAGAATAGGTCATGAATCTACTCTCATGCATTATGAATAAATTAGAAGAGATGATATCCAGAATATGGTTTAGAACTATAGAAATCCTAATCGATACATATGCTTGTCGATGACTCTTAAAACAACTTGACTCTCTGGGACTAATCTACATGATGCAATGAAGGATAAAAGACATTGAAGAATGCAAAAGAATGAAACAGAAAAGTTAATAAGATAAAAAGGAGAAAGAATAATGGATCTGGGGAAGAATCCCCATCTCCATGGCCTAACCCTAGAAAAACAGAGTTTGGTGGCTCAAAATCTCATTACAGGAGCACACACCCGTTTAAAGCTGCTAAACAATGTATTTATAGGTCCTAAGGTCTTCCAGATCTCATTTAGGGCTTCTCTGAAGAGAAATGGAGAAGTGGGCTTTGATGTTGGGCCTTGTGGCTCATCCTAAGGTCCACCGGGGGTGAGAGTCCTCCAGGACAGGTAAAACATGTGTTTCCCACGGGTGAGAGTCTTCCGGGACTGGTGAACTGGGTGAACTTGTTCTCCATGTATCTTTTGATTGCACCGTTGGATCTTTGTGATGTAAAGTGATATGGAAAGATAGTTGTCTCCTCTTGATTGTATCCAAATTTGAGCTGGATCAGACGGTGAAAAAGTCTTCATTTGAGGCTGAACTTCTGACGGTCTGACTCTGAGCTAAAAATGTGGATTTCTTCCATTTTGCCATCATATTTCCTAAGTTTCCTGAAAAGAGCCTTGAAACTACAAATACATGGAAATCATAATAAAAGTCCCTAAAACAAAGTAAAACCTTTGAAAAAGCATTTGAAATCAATGGTGAAAAGTCGTCAAAATCAGGCGTTATCAAGCTACACCAATCAATGCCCTCACCACGACTTCTCAGAGGCATCTCTTCTCAGTACATTATTCAGAGGTCCCCTCCCCAAGATCAGGAATCAACTGGATACAGCTTCTAATGGGAACTTTCTTGAAAAAGAGATCAATGCCGCAATAGAGCTAGTCGAGAATCTCGTGATGTCTAAGAATACATATGGAGAAGATTTCGAGAGGGCTAATAGCAAGGAGCTGAGGATGGAAAAGGATATGAGGGAGCTTCAAAACAAGGTTGACAAAGTACCTGTGGCAACACAAAAGCCTATACACTTTTTAGGCGAGTTTGATGAGCAAGGACCGAGCTTTGAAAATGTGAATGAGGATGGCCTAACACAGGAAGAGATCAATTACATTGGGAATCAAAACCGATATCAGAGGTTCAACAACTACAACTCTAATCAGAATCTCTCATATAAGAACCCCAATGTAGCCAATCCTCAAAAATCAGGTGTATCTTTCTCAGCAGAACCAACAAAGTTTTGCCCATAAGCAGCAGTTTCAAAGTTCTTTCCAGCCTAAACAACAGTTTGTGCAGCAACAACAGAGCTATGGACAGCAGCAGCAACCGGTTCAGAGCAGTAACTTCAGTTCTCAGCCTCAGCAACCGAAGTTTCCACCAGGGTTCAGTCAGCAGCAGTTTCAGCCTCAAGCGGTTCAACAACAGCAGCCGATGGGTCCAGACATGTGTGGTGTACTACAACAGTTGTTACAAGGACAACAAAGGTTTGAGAGTGGATTTACTGATTTTGGTTCCAAGTATGCGTCCATGCAACATGAGATTAGGGAGCTTAAGCAGCATCAAGCTTCCACATCAAGAGGACAAGGTGTTTTACCCAGGAAAGCAAAACCAAATCACAAAGAATATGTCAATGCCATCACCTTGAGAAATGGCAAAGAGTTAGCCGGTCCAGAAAAGAATATAGTGCTCATTGAGGACAATGAGCAAATCGGTGGGGAGGCAGCCCCAAGGGATGAGCAAGAGGATGAGGTTTCAAAGAAAGAAAAGGCTAAAGAGGTGGATAAGGAACCTGAACCTGAGAAGCCTTATGTCCAACCACATCCTTATCAGCCTAAGCTTCCTTTTCCAGGGAGATTCAAGAAACAGATCCTAGACAAGGAAAATGCAGTATTTGAAAAGCAGTTAGAGAACACTCAGATGACATTGCCGATTATAGAAGATTTTCTAATGATTCCACAGGTTGGAAAGTTTCTAGAAGATGTGATTTTGAACAAGACCAAGGAGCTACAAGGGATGGTAATTCTGAGACATGAGTGCAGTGCCATTATTCAGAGGATAACAGTTCCAAGAAAGCTATCTGATCCAGGGAGCTTTACTTTACCTTGTGCTATAGGTCCTTTGAAGTTTGCTAGCTGTTTGTGTGATTTTGGAGCTTCAGTAAGGTTGATGCCTTATACCATTGCCAAAAGGTTGGGGTACAACAGCTAGTCAGCTACAAGCCAGCAAAGATCTCTTTAGTACTCGCTGATAGGTCAGTAAGGTTACCCATTGGATTACTTGAAGATTTTCCTTTGAAAATTGGTGAGATTGAGATCCCAACAGACTTTATAGTCTTAGAGATGGATGAGGAGCCTGTGGATCCTATCATTTTTGAAAGGCCCTTCTTGTCCACAGCAGGAGTGATCATAGATGTCAGAGGAGGCATGATCGAGCTGCACATTGGATCAGAGACCATGAAATTCAATGTAAAAGAGATGATGAAGAAGCCGACCATAGGTGGACAAGTCTTTTACATCGAAACCATGGAGGAGCTGGCTGATGAGCTACTTGAGGAATTAAACACAGAGGATCCTCTCCAAGTGGTTTTAACAAAGGATCAAGGAGAGCATGGGTACTTAGCTGAAGAGAGTGAAGCTTACAAGCGGTTCTTGGATCAGCCGAAGGAAGTTGAAGCTGAAACAAAGTTTTTGGAGATCGAACCAAGCGGTCACGAGGTTTAGGAGATCAGAGGTTCCAATACAAGTCAGGAGATACCTCGGGGTTGCATGGCTGTGGTATCATAAGCCGATTGCAGGGGTAGACCGCATGAACAAACCAAAGCCGAGGGAGCTGCCGATGAGTGATGCGAGCAAAAGCGGGGTTGTTGTTTTCGTTTTACTAAGCTTCAGGTTTTAAATTTATAACCCCTAAATGTCTGAAAGTGCACAGATGTGTGCTGTAGTACTTAGGGTATCGATCCACATAGACTTAGTTGTTTCAGTACGAATACACTGCAATGCTTAAATCAGATTAAAACTAAAAAGGTTTTGGTTTTGGTTTTGGGTTTTTGGTTGTCACTAAATCTAAACTAGAAAGCTAAACAAGTAAAAGCAAATAAAAACGAAAGTAAGTGCAAGCAAGTAAAAATCGGTTATGAATGAAGCAAGTAACAAGCGAATAAAAGCAGAATGGAAATCTAAGGTTGTAAGCAATGAAAGAAAAACGTTGGGGCTCAAGGGTAATTCACAGGGATTCATGGACTAAGCTATGTCGATTTTAAACAAGTGATAAAGGTAATCAACTACGTATGTTCTAGAACTCGAGGCACGGAAGTATGAATAGCCTACTTTCGCAGCACTAAACAACTATCTCTCGCAACCCTGATCAGTAGGTTTCCACTCTGATCCTGGAAGGGAGAAGATGCAATAGCAGAATAAGACTCATCAACATTCACAACTCAACTACAAGTAGGTTTCCACTCCTATAGAAGAATTGCTCTTTTCACCCTAGTTCAGACAATCAATGAAAACTTTCGCAACATATCATATCAGATCGGCTTCTAAGTGGCCAGCAAAGAATCACGCAGTATAATCAAAGGCAAACGAAGAACATCTAGAAGATTATAAATCCTAAATCTATCGATTCATAAGCAAAGACACACGAAATTCCCTTTGAAAAATCCCTTTAAACCCAACTGGGTAACTATTCAAACATATTGTAACAAAGCATCATAAACGAAATTGAAAGTGCAGGAAATTAAAGAGAACAAGGAAGAGAAACGAAGAACAGAGAAGCGGACGGAGGCGCGATGATTGCACTCCAGCTGCGGCTCCTCCTTCTTCGAAGACGGCGGCTCCTCCTTAGGGTTACACGAAAATCTCTTTCTCTCCTCTTTGTCTATTAGTTTCGGTCTCCCCTCTTTAGAATGACCTAAAGAGGGTATTTATAGCTTCTGGGGTGGTCTTGCACACTTAGGGCTTCAAAAATAACGAAAGTAATTGATCTGGGCTTTAATTAAGTCGTCTGGAAAGTGAACGACCAAGTTCCGCGGTCGCGGTGGCTCTACCCGCGGGAAAATGGGTGTTGGCCGCGGTCCCGGCACACGGCTCTCTTCCGGAACTGCATTTTCTGTCATTCTTGCATCGGAAGTATCTGAAGATCTAACCGTTGGATTGTCTCCAAACCAAGTGCATTAGAAAGCTGGTTGGATCCTCTATGTTGTCTCAAATTTTGGGGTGATCAGACGGTGATAAGGTCTTCATCGCTTGTCATACTTCTGACGGTCTGCATTTATCCAAAATTGCTCATTTGTTCCAAATTGCATATCTTTTGCCCAAATTTCCTGTAAAGTCTTTTGAAACTCTAAAACATTGAAAACACTTTAAAAACCATTGAAAACAGAGTTAAAACACCTGCATAAGATACAATTATGATCTATAAAAGTGGTCAAAATATGGTGTTATCAACTCTCCCAGACTTACCTTTTTGTTTGTCCTCAAACAAACTTAAGTCAGGAAAGAAATTTTGAAAATCGCAGGAACTAAACAATATCTCAGTGACCGTCCTTCTAAACCATAACTTATCGTAAAACATCTATTTGGATCTAGTCTAGAAAATTCTCACCAAAATACAAGCAAACTAGTCTGTTAATCCGTCATGCGAAAATCTACACACTTAGATCTAACTTCCAGTCAACTAGCTCTCTACATTCATTAAGTATAGTAGTGAATTCTCATTAAAGTCATTATTCAGGGTAGACGACGTTTGGTATTAAGGCTATTTAAGTGGTGGAGTTAAAGTGTTTAGGGTTACCTGAAGAATATGGAGGATGCAAGATATTATGCAAAACCGCAAGAGAGAGAAGGACCTGTGGATGACCGCAGATGTTCAGTCACTTCTCCTTCGCCAATTGTTGTTGCATAATCTTCCTCCTTTGTTATAAACAATTTTCCCCCAAACTTAGATCTTTTCCGGGAATCATAAAGATTATCTCCAAAACTCCAAATGATCGAGTCAAGCTTGCCTCAAGTATAAAATTCGATCCTCCTAGACTCTCTAAGGTTTTTATTTTCGGATTTTTTTTTTTTTGAAAAGAGGAAACAACCTTTTATAGAGAGAGAGTCTAAGGGGCGAAATTGTACCAAGATTTTGAAGTTTTTCCAAGACAAACTGAGTTTTCTCCTTTTGTTGATTTTTTCCAATGAAATCGCTGTTCTCCGTCTTTAGTGACTGAAAACCGCGTTGATCCTCTTTTTCTCCGACGTTTTTGCACATATCTGCAAGTAGGGCAATGGAAAACAAGAGCGCATGTGGTTTGAAAGAGGTTAGGTTCGGTGGGGAACTAGCTAAAGATAAACTAGCCATTCAGGATCAACAAAGAGTGGTAAAAGGGTAAAGGAGTCCTGAATGTATGATTCGTTTCCCTGATCTAATGCTTTAATGAGAAAATTAAGTCAAAAGTAAGTCTAGATAAAATGAGCTAGTATATCCTGTCAGAAAGAATCTCCATGAATAGAAGTCCTCTGGTGGGATTTCGTAGTGCAAGTACTTAGCTACCGCCTAGTCTAGGCCTAAATCACAAAAGAGCAAAAAACGAGGAAATAGCGTAGAAGCACACTGGTCTAATTCATCATAGTATTGTTTATTGTGTTCCTGGATTGAAAAATTTTTTGAAAAACATTTTGAAAACGATTTTTGAAAACTTTTATGAAAAAACTTTTTGAAAAATTTTATGTGTCCAAAACAAACTCAAAACAAATCAAATTTCATTAGTAACGGATGAACATCCTCCCCCAGACTTATTTCACACTGTCCTCAGTGTGATAAATCTTGGAAAGAATGGTAAAGAAAATAGAAAAGTTGAAATGTTTAGGAGTACTTATCGTGCTAGAGAGTGCTGCTCGTCTTTTGTGTTTGTTCTTCCTTATTGAAAACCTGAATTTAAATGAAACAGAAACAAAGCAATGGAAATTGAAAATAAAGGTCAAAGGGAAATAGATAAAATACCAAGTGGGTTGCCTCCCACTAGCGCTTGTTTCAAGTCATTAGCTTGACATTGTTGCTCGATTAGACTTAACCGGGGTCGTGGCACATCGGCCAATGATGGATCAATCAAAAACATCACTTCTCTTTCGTCTTCTGTTTCTTCTGCCAGATATAGCTTTACACGCTGTCCATTCACTGTAAATGAGTTTCCGGTTCTGTCCCACAGGACAATTGCTCCGTATGGCTTGACTTCCTTTATCGTGAAGGGTCCTGACCATCTTGAACGTAATTTCCCTGGAAAAAGCTTAAGACGAGAATTGAAAAGAAGAACTTTATCGTTAGGAGCAAAAGTTCTATGAATAATATTCTTATCATGATATGCTTTAGTCTTCTCCTTGTAGATCTTCGAGTTTTCGTAAGCATTGTGTCGGATTTCTTCTAACTCGTGAAGTTGAAGTAGTCTTCTTTCTCCAGCTGTTTTTAGATTCATGTTCATCTCCTTGATAGCCCATTGCGCCTTATACTCGAGCTCTACTGGAAGGTGACATGCTTTTCCATAAACTAGGTTGAATGGTGTTGTTCCTAACGGTGTCTTGAATGCTGTTCGATATGCCCATAATGCGTCGTCAAGCTTTGTAGACCAATCCTTGCGATGAACTGCAGTTGTTTTCTGCAAAATCGACTTGATTTCTCTGTTTGAGATCTCTACTTGACCGCTGGTTTGGGGATGGTATGGAGAAGCAACTTTATGTGTGACTCCATTCTTTCTAGGAAGATTCTCGAAAATTCTGTTGATGAAATGCGATCCTCCATCGCCTATCACAACTCTAGGAACTCCAAAACACGGGAATATCACAGATTTAAACAGCTTCATGACGACTTTCGCATCATTGGTGGGACTAGCGACTGCTTCAACCCACTTAGAGACGTAGTCTACTGCTACTAAGATGTATTGGTTTCCGAAAGAAGTAGGAAAGGGTCCCATAAAATCTATTCCCCAGACATCAAAAATTTTGACTTCGAGAATAAAATTTTGAGGCATCTCATTCCTTTTGCTTATGTTACCCATCCTTTGGCATTTATCGCATCGCGATATATAAGCTTGAGTATCTTTGAACAAAGTAGGCCACCAAAAATCTGCTTGTAAGATTTTTGAAGCAGTTTTGAAGGTTGCGAAATGTCCTGCGTAAGACGAGCTATGGCATCCGAATAAAATTCCTTCCATCTCTTCTTCAGCCACGCATCTTCGGAATAACCCATCAGCACATCTCTTATAGAGATAGGGTTCATCCCAAAAATAATGTCTTACTTCTTTCAGAAACTTTTTCTTCCTATACCCGAAAAATTGCGGGGGCTCTACATCAGCTGCTAAGTAATTTGCTATGTGTCTAAACCATGGGGTGTTGAAAGCATCTGCTCGTCGCATGAGTTGACGTGGTGGTGCGGTATTGGCATTGGTAGGGGTAGTATCTATTGCATAGATGTTTTCTTTTGGCAAACTATCATTTAAGGGCAATCTTTCTTCAACTCGAATTCGTGAAAGATGGTCTGCAACTCCGTTATCTGCTCCTTTCCGATCTTGAATTTCGATATCAAATTCTTGCAGTAGGAGGATCCATCTTATCAACCGAGGTTTAGCGTCTTTCTTAGACATTAAATACTTGATTGCAACATGATCAGTATGAACTGTAACCTTAGATCCTACGAGATAAGAACGGAATTTCTCAAATGCAAATACGACAGCTAGAAGTTCTTT